AATAATCGCAAAGGAATCACTGTCCAGCTCTGGCCTCCACCCGCGCGGTCGCGTCAAGCCAAGCCCTTACTTTTGGAACCAGCGTTTGAGAGGAAGATGCGCATAGGTAGAGACATCACGATCGTCATCCGGGTGTTCCAGAAGTTCCGAGCGTGGCTTAACGTATAGGAATTAACGAGATATACGTATGAAACAAGTAACTTGTAAGGGAGGACAATACTGATTTTACGTTCAGTTTAGCTTGCTAAGTAGTAAGTAATACGCGCTCGCGACGAAAGGCTTTGCAGGCTACGCATTTCGAAGATGGATATCGACTTGGACGAATAATTCGTTAAAACATCAGGTAAATGAAATGCTTTCTTTACACCTTTCTTGATTTCTTTGCTATGCTATACTTTAATCAGATTTTATCGCAAATATTCGGTATTTTCGAAAATACGGTAGTGGTCGGTTAAATGGGACACTTTCAACGCGTAAAAAGAAAGTCCCAACACGACTGCATTTAAGCTATTTTCAATTACACGTTCTTCGTACCAACCCTGTCCAATTGAAAAGCACCGCTTCTGTTTTCTTTCATCTAGTCGGCCACCACTGTACTTCGTCTTTCAGTTTCTTTCTAAATGGACGAACATATCGCAACGACACGATAATCAGAGGACAATATTTGTAGTTGAGAAACTCATCAATAATCCTAAATATCGATGCGCGCATATCTTATTGGTTGAGCTTGCAGATGTTCTATATCAAATGTTATCCAGTCGTTCTTAGAGGTAGTTTATTGAGATTAATCGTCGGTTATTAGGCACGTAAAAAAAAGTAATAACAAGAAGAAAAAAATTATAATAACAATAACAATAATAATAATAGTAATAATAATAATAATAATGATAAAAGAAAGGTATCGACAATTGCGCGTGGAACAAAGAGTATGTATATCGATGTGTGTATGATATTGGTGGAAGCGTGAGAGATTGTCATCTAGTTTTTAACTATATTTCGTGTTTCTACGCGTATTATTAGATGCGAGAAGAGGTTTGACATATTTCAAATCGATGTATCCAAGTTGTAGGCCGTAAGTTTCCGTTTCGAGTTTTCTTTGTCGAGAATAGTCTAATGCCAAGCATGTCCACGGGACTCCTCTCATTACCTACGGTCACAGAAATAACAGAGATAGAGCAGAGGAGACATAGGTCTATAGTAGAAATGTTTCACTGTTAGAAAGAGATAAAAACCACGGCACCCTATCCATCTCTGTGTTTTTATTAATGTGAATGTAAAATATATATGTAATTATTAAAAGTATAAACGATAACTATTTATGATTAACATATAAATGATATAACAATACGCTGGTAAACAGAGGCAGGTGGGGTATCGCGGTTTTCTTTCTCTTTTCAGCTGCGATAGCTATTTTATCCATAATATTTATGTATATGGCAATATGGCTACGATACGTGAAGGGAGAAGAACCTCTCCCCGCCTGGGGGGAGGAACTCACCACACGCCGTCGTCGAGTAGGAGGGAGACATCAGTATAGAGCGGGCCGTTAAATAGAGTGTGTCGTCTGTCCCATCATGGAGCGCGCATTCTAAGTAAATATCTACCGGGTGTCCCAAAAATGTTGTAACACCTTGAAAGGGGTGGTTCGTGAAGTGATTTGAAACAACTTTTTCCTTACCGAAAATGTTGTCCGAGGTTTCGTTAAGGAGATATTAACAGAAAACGTCGACCAATCAGAGCGCGCGTACACCGTTGGAGCGGCCGCGGTAGCGGAGGCTACGCATTAAGCGGCCGCGCTCATTCGCTACCGCGGGCGCTCCATCGGCATACTCGCGCTCTGATTGGTCAGTGTTTTCCGTTAATATCTCCTCAACGAAGCCTCGGACAACATTTTCGCTAAGGAAAAAGTTGTTTCAAATCACCTCCCGAACCACCCCTTACAACATTTTTGGAACACCCTTGTAGAGTCGAAAAAGGCGTCTAGTACGTAGTAGACGAGCTGCTCCGTGGACATGTCTAATCTATGCGAAGTCAAATCCATCGATTTATCGACGCTGGTCAATCCAACATGACAGCGATGCGACTAGAACTTGTATTAAGTAAGACGCGACGCTACGTCCAGCTACGTCGTTCCATTAGTTTCATAAGGAGAACGAAGACCTAGACACCGTAAGTTTCCTTTGAGATTTTTCAATTTTTCGTTGAACGTTTCTCATCCTGCAATCAGCGGTAATAAGAGTCTATTCTAGTCCTTAGCGTGTAAGATGAAAGTACCGAACCGTCAGGTGCCAGTTCACCGGGTCGTACGTTTCGATATGTTTAAGTTAGGTTAACTACTAATAATCGTGGTCGAATCGCGACGTTTAGAAATGTCGACCGGTATGCCAAAAACTAGTAGATATTTATTAGATTGTCACTCTGATCCGTGTCGGTGCGAATCCTTATGTTTCGTCGAACGATGCATCGAATCGTGGACAGACAATACCCATCCGTTTGTGACAAGCCAGGACCATGTCTAGGTAGTTTAGTCCCTAAAGTGACAATTGAATATATCGTCCTCCGTTTATTAGATTTTTATCCCATATCCGGAAATTAAGTACATAGTTTATGCTTTCCATTGGAACATAAAGAATAATTGAACAAAGTTTCGATTAGATTAGAAAAAAATAGCAGGAGTTATAGGGAAATCATAAATACACATTTCGGATTTCATTTCATTTCGCATTGTTATCGAAACAAAATTTTAATCGAAATTGTTCTCGCGGTGATATTTGTCATGGTGATCGTAGTTACTCAAAAATGAATGGGCAGAAAAGTATAGAAAACGAAACTTAAATCTTGATCCATTAATATAAATTATGAAAATAAAAATGTCATATTAAGTAGCTTCGTATAACTATTCATTATCGAGGAATATTATTTAAAAGGTGATAGGTAAACCGTTACGATAGGTAACTTAATTTTTGTCAACAAGATTACGTCTGGAGACGCGTGTCCTTACGACCTGTAGCTGTTCTTTGGAAACAACACAACGCAAAGCTTTTCGTTCGGTAGCGCGACGGTTCTGTTTACGTTTGATACATTAAACGGATCTGGAGGGAAATCTCTGGATAAGAAATTACCAGCTCGTGATCTCAACTACGCGTAATATCGCACCGTCGTGCGAGATATCCCGGAACGACGTTTGTGTATCTAAAGGGAGAGAAATCCGATTAAACACACACGATGCATATATAGGTATATCTTAGGGATGATATTCGAATTTATAGGTTATGTGTGATACCGACATGCCTAGCGATAACATTTCTCCAACGAGTGTGTAACTGTAAACGAACAAATGCACCGGACAGAGGAAGAATAGCGGGTAGTGGAAAATATTTCGTCTGCGCCAGGAGGTCGTAATTCGAGTTCGATTCATAACTATACAAGTCCGTTTTACCTTTTCAAAATTAATAAAGGTAATTGTGAGATAATTTTGACAGAAATAGGTCGTACAATTGCATGAATCCCTTGATGATCGAGATATTGCTTCGCTTCATTTCGAAACAATAATTGTCCATAACATAAATGTCATGAGGTTACTCTTGTCGTTAATGCCAAGTTAAAGAAGTCGACCTACAACGTCTCGAGGCATTAGAACGTTCAAGTTTAAATCAATCTTTCTGAAAGTTACTTCCGAAAATAACGTTACCGATGTTAAATTGCGCGTCGATATGGTAGATCTTGCTTTGATCATTACGACCTCCACTCCTAGAAAACGTCAACCTCATTTTCCTCCGAATTTATTCGTTTACCTGCGTATAGATATTAAACTGCGTAGAAATATAGATATAACCCTGTTGTCTCGAGCCCCTGTAACAATTAAGTGTCAAGGAGAAATTAGTAGTGTCGTTGTTGTTCTAACCATTATTGCTGAACGAGAAAAAAAACGAACACGTGTTCTGTACAGGCGATGAAAGTACGCGAAGATACGAATACGAGTTAAATACGTTTACGAGTCGTGCTAAGATCAACAATTGTAGAGGTTAGAGAGAACGTCCGTTATTGCACGAATCGAGCAATGAAGGGACGAAAACCCCTTTGAATGTGCGTTACCGTCTTTCCTTGCGCCATGACAGATCGAGTGATATTTCGTCCGTCAAGCTTTTTATCGATCAAAGGTAAATTTTGTACACAATGCTAAGAACCCAGATTTTTTCGTAAAGTTTCCTTTGAAAGGAAGAGTGTTCCCTAGTCATATATTTAACGTTGTACTTATATTATTTATTTCGAGCGTTAGCTGGCCAAAGGGTACAGTCGAATAAGGTAGTTGAAAGTGCTCATAAACCAAATTCAACCTTTATTGGATGAATTTGAATTAGGTGCACTTTGGCTTCATTCGCCAATACTCTGTATCGTACTGTAGTGTACTGTAGTGACGTTACCACCCGCGATAATGACCTGTTTTATCAACGAACAAAGTGAAGAGAGAAATTCGACGAGACACCGTTAGGGCTTAGCTAAAACTGTATAGGCAGGCTGGTTTAGTTTCCCCGTTGTTGTTTAGGTATGCTATTTAGTGAAAAATATTCGGTTAACGTTTAGTAGCAGACGAATCTTGATCTGGAGAAGTATGTGAATCGCTAAGAGTAGAAGCGTATATTTTCATTTGAATCGTAACGAATTATTTAACCCATTTATGACGTCATCGAGCCGTGAAGTACAGCGAGAAGAGGATAACCGTGGATATTGAGACTCGAATATCGAGATATAGGTACCTCTGATCTTCGATCTGTAATTTATAAATATATAAATATATACATATATAAATATATAAATATACATAATGACATGTATGTAACGTCGTATGGTGTAATTATACGTGTATGTATGATCCGTAATTGTAATCTAATAATAATCGGTGAGGTGTATACAAAGTGACAAAACGAGAGAGGAGTAACATGATTTTAAGGGTTAGGTGAGGCGATTACTGATTTCCTGATATATATGTATATTATAATTTCTCAAAATGGAGAGAATGGAGAAAATGGAGAAAATGACAACATTGGAGGAAATTGACGGAAACAAGTGTAACACTGTTTAGCTAATGGTATTATTGATAAATTCTATGTATCAATAAATAATATAAAATTGTTTAAGGGTCGAAGTTGGGTTAACGAGGAGATCTTATTATCGATTAGTTAAACACTCAACTGCAACACTGGTCTTTTTTTACAGTTCATGTTTTACAAGATACACTGACTTCAATCTATACATACAGAGTGTCCCAAAAGTGTTGTAACACCTTGAAAAAGATGGTTCGGGAGGTGATTTGAAACAACTTTTTCCTTAGCGAAAACTGTTGTCCGAGGCTTCGTTGCGGAGATTTTAACGGAAAACACTGACCAATCAGAGCGCGCGGATACCGTTGGAGCGGCCGTAGTAGCGAAGGCTACGAGCTAAGCGGCCGCGTCCAATGTCCTTCGATGCACGTCGAGTCGTTTGTTCGCGTACGAGCGCGGCCGCTTAGTATATAGCCTTCGCTACCGCGGTCCGTCCAACAGTATCCGCGCGCTCTCATTTGGTCAGTGTTTTCCGTTAATATCTCCTCAACGAGGTCTCGGACAACATTTTCGCTAAGGAAAAAGTTGTTTCAAATTTCCTCCCGAACTACCCTTTTCAAGGTGTTACAACATTTTTGGGACACCCTGTATATGTAACGAAAGTAAGGTTTAATTTCTATCTTACTAAATATTTGTACTATCTTTGCATCACATGTTACTAGTTACTTTTTTTTCTTTACATAATCTTTCTAATGCATATGTATACAGATTTCAGCAAAACGTAACGGTAAAACAGGTTACAGTAGTGCAGCGCCATCCATCAGGCATATCGCCTAACACCCATTTGACGCCTAAACACCGTTTCTAACGGCATATCTCAATCATGTTACATGTTACACAATTTTTATTACGCATGCCATCGACGAATTAAAGATTTGCATTTCACAAGCATTTATGAAATCTTTTGTCGCGTTTAACGATTTCTTTTCCCGTGACACTGAAATTCCGACCGTGTCCTATTTGTATTATTTAGCCGAGAATACAGTAAGGTTACGTAATTGTGAAAAATAGATGTATCAAAACGGACAATATAAAATATAACGCAAAATACGTTCACCACGAACTGGCGTAATCAACATCGTCGAAACACTTTTATTAGGAATAGCTTGTTCATACGTTATACAAATTTTCTTTTTTTTTTTTATTTATCCCAGAAAGAGAAATTAATTGATTAAAGTACCTTTCCTTAGGGATAGAGGATACGAATGGTCTCTTTAATATTTCATACGTACCGGATAATCATTCAGATCATTTCCAACTGACCAAAAGCCGAGTGAATGTACTGTATATGCAACAGTCAAACGGAAATTACATAATCCGTAATACACGTTATAAACCTAATGCAGGAACCTTCAAAACCGAGTAAAAGTATCTTACATAAATGAAATTACTATAGTAACGAAGAACAGATTTGTATGCATCTACAATTATCTATAATAAGCGATAGATAACGTGGAACACAGTACTTCAATGTAACTGCAAACAATATAAACATCGTGTTAATTATCTCTTTGCTAAAATCACAAAATATTATAACAAACGATCTTGATTTAATAATTCCCGTATAAAATGAACACTATGTTTTTCTTAGAAATTAATCTAGTTTCTAGACTTCTAACTAGAAATATGCGTGTCTTGATTCTTCGTTACAGTTACTGTTCATGTGGCTCAATTTGTCCCCCATCGGGTTCACATGAATGGAGTTCCACTGAGGTGTTTGAAATTCTACTCAGCCTATTATCATGTGAAAGGAGGAAGAATAACAACGAGTTTATTTAAAAAGAAAACTTGGAGATTTTAGCCAGAAATATGGGAATCTCTGTTATCTCGGAAATTTGTTCTAGCATTATAGCACCTTGAGACAGCCCTGGCCGACGAAACGCGGCCATTGGTCGAACTGGTAGGGCCACGTGACCGTCTTGTCAACAAGCGTGCTTGCGCGGTGCGGTCGGCGTTGTGCGGGAAGAGAGGACACTAAGCTCCCGCCACTACCGCCGCCGTATCCAGTAGCGCGGCTCAGCTGTTTCTGTTTACTAAACAAAGGAGCCAGAAATCAGTTCAACGGTG